AACGACCACATGTCTTCGGTGGCCAATGGTTTCTTATATCCTTTAAATATCATTGAATTGAACCACCAAAAGGTCACCCGAGACAAGAAGGATGCCGTCTCTTCCGGATTCATTGTCTATGTGTCGAGAAAATAGTTATTAAACTTTTTCTAAGTTTGAATATAAAATTAATGTTAACTTTTTCTCTATTTGATGAAAAGTATCCGTTCGTCACATCGGAAAAGCATGAAAGCAATAGTTGTATAAAAACTACGGGAAAGTATAGCATTCGTGTGACAAACCAATAACTATCCACTAATCCAGTGAAATGGGCCTAAAAATAAATAATTGCTATTAAATTGTGTTTAAGTTTGTTTTAAATATTAAATTACATCAGAAGATAGCATATGGACAACAGTTCTGTAGTTAATAATTGCACCGATAGTTAGCGTAAACCAGAATATAAAGATAATACTCGACGAATGAATGCCATGTTTACGATGTAAATAAGTTAATACTATTATGTAAACCTATTATTTAATTAAAAATTAATGATTAATTTATAAAATGTATTTAATATCTTACAAATGTTATAGACTTCATAAATGGTGTGAAGAATTGGACGCCAAACACCAAGTTTTCATTGTTTAAGTATTTGATAATCGTGTGAAACAAATCAAACAAACTTATGAACACAAGCGTTGATGAGAAACACTGGAATAAAATTAATAGTTTTAAGATTATAATTGAAAATAATTTATTTTTGTTTCTATTTCTTGCCATTTTAGCAATGAATAGTATTGTATAACGAATTGGTTTCGCATTGTTTTTATAAAAAATATTAAACAATTCGTAGAGCGATAGCAGCCATAAGAGTAGACACGGAATCCATACGAGAAGTGTCTCTTCGAAACAAAGTGTAAATTCTGGAAATTCATTGGAATTCCACGAGAGATCCCAATCCTATGCCAGTAATCAATCATTTATTCAATATTAATGAATATATCAATTAATTTGTTCAAAACAAACCCAAAACTGTGATCCGCAGAAATTGTCCATTTTATGGATTCACTTTTAATTATTAAATATTATTACATCAATTTAAATCTAAATAAATAAAGACAAATAAATATAAATACAGTAATATAATTGTTTTAAAAATGTGTTTTATTATAAATTAAGTTATAGTTTACTTCTAATTACTTCTAACAAAACAAATCGTTTGACTGATTGCTTGTCAGTATATTTGAGTATTGCTTTTGAGTGGAGTATTTGATCAGAAGTTTTTGTAAACAATAAATTGCAAATTAATTCACATTTGAGTACAAAATCAGTACAAATTGTCATTCAAAGACAGTATAACTATTAATTGATTAGATATACAAAAGCAAACAACAAATAATTTTTCCGATCTTATGATTGATATTTCACTGAATATATTCAGACAAAAATAATATTTTTAGCCTTTATATCAATTTCATAAAACAGGTAAACGTACAGTCAATTTGATATAATTTCCTATTAAGAAAACATGTAACTTGAACGTTTTAGTAGACTGTGAATGTAAATTTAAACATTATTTTAATTGAACAGTAAAATTGAACATTGTTTTAATAATAATGATTAAATTAACTCAAGTTTCTAAATTTACATGCTTAATAAAAAGTACAATTTATATATTTATTAATTTTAATTTATCTTTAAATCATAGACTTGTGCACCACTTATATAGTAAATGATAACTAGTTGTTTGCATAAAAATACATTTTATATAATATATTGGAAAACATTAATACTATAAGAAGTACTACAATATTATTAAAATTAAATAAATTGAGTTTATAAATTGCTAATTTAATCAGTTTAATTGTTTAATAAATTCAAAAATGTATAATTGAATAAATGTTACAGACCTGTTATGGTATGGCCAGAAAATACACTACTGGCCTCTGAAGTGATCTATGTTGAGGCACCTGAACCTCTAATAATCTGTCAATTGTGTGATATATTATCAAAATCTTAACAAATGATGAGATTGTTTAATACACTCCACAATTAAGTAATAAATTATTTCAAGTGTTTCGTTTGAAAATACTTTTCTTTTGTTTTAAAACAATAATAGCAATAAGTTTTGAAAGTTTGTTAAAACATGCTTTTAATACAGAAATATCACAATTTAACTTTTAATATTATGTGAAATACTTATAAAACTAATTAAAAAGTTTTGGACAAAAAAATTAGCGCAACTATTATCCATAGATTGACTTATATTTTACACTTACAGTCGATTCAATACAATCAATCAATGGTTGCGTTATTTCGTAATGTATTCTCTGTTGTCCAGTATTCGTGTCAAACAATTAGGACATATTAGTTAATATTACTTTATATTAAATATAAATAACATGTTGTAAATTTGATTTATTACTCAATATAATTGTAAATTTAAATTAATACAATGTATAAAACAAAAGTTAATTTACAAAACATAGCATTAAAACTCGCTTATATGTAAAAGTTAATGTGAATTATTAAATTACTTTTATTTAGCCAAACAATTCAAACTTTAATGTATAACTTATAAAGTATAAGTGACTTCAAAGGCAAATATTTTGCCTAAAATTATTATTTTTTGTTGTTAAACGATAACAAATGAACGATATTTTTATTTTCTTAAGTAATTTATAATATAGTGAGCAAACAATTGAATTCATTTCCCAATCTTAATGTAGTGTCAAGTGTTACAGAATCAAGAAATTTAATTTTAGTTCAATAACAGTAAGTTATTGGACAATAATATTGTTGATAAGATGTCTATTAGAGTCAATGTATTGTTAATACTCTTGCATTGGGATTGACGTCAATTAAAAACCGATTAAAACATGTTTTGATTATTTACTGCATATAAAGAAAAGCATATTATAAATATAATTCTGTTATTTGTCTATTTATAAATAAAGATTTACATATTTGTCAATACTATTTAATAAAACAAACAATTATTTAGATAATTTCATTATTACCCTAAATACAATATACTTTAATATTGTTCACGTTCAAATTTGTTTAAGCACTAATCAAAAACATTTGTTATTTTTATAATTATTTCTTTTAAATTATTTTATATATTTTTTCAATTATATTGTGATTCAAACTATTTTGTTATTAATGATATTCTATCAAAGATACGCTAAAATTAACATTAACTTTATGGGACTGTCCTGTCTAGCAATCAAATCAGTCTTAAAGTCGGGTCAGACAACACTGTTTATTAAAAGTGCTTACTAAAACTGAACTAAACAAGGCCATTTCCAAAATAAATATTATGTTAATTGATCGTGAAGTTAATTTACTCCTTAAGACGAATAAAAACATTACAATCAAATTATTAAATTGTAATAATGTTTTCCTTTTGAACAATTTGTATATTACTAAATGTATATCAGATTTGCATTAACTAATTAATGCATAATGTAAATGATTATGAAGTTATGATATAATCTATTGCTTTCATTAACTACTGAATGCAAAGGAGTTTATCAAACATCTATTCCTCCCTTCCTTTCTCTGCCTCTCTTCCCATTCCTCTGAATAGCCTTCAAAACGTGTTACAGACTGTCCTTCGTTTGCAAACTTATAATTAGTCCGTTTTGTATCGCATGTAATACTCAATCCAATTATATATTTGGCGACAAATTAATGTTTTGACGCAAAAATTATGGTTACTGTTAACCAACAAACATAAACACAAACTATTTTTCATATTAATTCATATAATTTGAATGAAATTATTAATTTGTATAAAATAGTGATATATTAAGTGCATTTTATAAATTACTTTCATTTTGGCGGAGATGTTGAAAATTTCAAAAGTTTTATTAATAATTTAATACACGACTTAATAATCATGAAATTTGCACAACATTTTGCAATCGTAAGACTTTTAGTACACAAAAATTGGTTAATCCGATGCCATCACAAGTCATCGTTTGCCTTATTATCATTGATACCGATCTGTTTCGCGGCGTTTGTGGTAATGATGTCGCGGAGAACGGTATTAAACTATGCCGACGGCCAACATATCAATGATAGTACAGTCAATATAACCGTTTCGGAACCCATTTACTTGTCGGCCAAAAGTCTGTCACAAAACCAGTCGCTTCTGGAGTTGACTACATCGCCAAATATAGGCATTGCTTACTATCCTAATAATTCGTACACTAATAAACTGATGGCAAGAGTGGAAAAGTATTTGTCAAAAATGTTTGTGTCAAACATATTTGGCGAAACATATGTTTTCTACTCGACTGGTGTCCGACGGGAAGAAGAGTTGACCACTATTTTAACGGACACTATATTTGAGAAGACGACAGACTCGCCGACACAATTTGCCCTCAACTTCGCCGCTTCCGACCATTTCGGGCCAAACAAAGGGCCCAAACATTTGGATTATACGATAACTGTCTATAATAAGGATATTTATAACTTTGATGTGTATCGAAGTGTGAATGCATTTTCCGATTTCGACTTTTTAAGAGAGTATCGATTTGACAGTTATGTGGAGCGAGGCTTCTGTCAGTTACAATTGGCCGTCGATTTGGCGCACATCTCACTCCTCACCAACACTTCGGTCGAAGACAGGGTTGAGATCTTTGAACAACTGATGCCAATCCCTTCACTCACCAAATACCAAAAGGATAGCTACTTCTGGTCGTCTGAACACTACTATTTGATTGCATTCACCGTTTTAATTGAATTATTAGTTATGCTATCAGTTGTGGTGAAACGCGTTGTGGAAGACAAGCAGACAATGATAACCGACTATTTGTTTCAATTGGGTGTCGGAAAGGCTGACCACTGGATCAGTGTTGTGGCGGACGCCGTCTCGGTATTGGGTTTACAACATGTGATAATAACATTATTTGTACTCAATTACGATATATTTCTATATAAAGACACAACTGACATAATAATTCATTCCCACTCACTATTTGGCGGAATCTCACTGTCATTATATCTGGTCTTCTCATTCCTATTTATCATACAATCCGTGCTTTTTGTGTGTTTAATATCCGTATTCTTCCGAAGCCCTAACATAGCAGTCATCGCGACTATTATTTTATGGTTTTTGTCATTTTTAGTGCCACTAATTTATTTATTTGCCATCGAAGGCAGGGGTGCGCCAGTGTTGGCACACTTAGGACTGGAGACCCTGTCCTGTCTATTGCCAAACAGTGCCTTATTTTGGTTTTTCCACATTTGTGTCGGACTCGAGAGGAATTCCCAATACGGTCCCAAATGGATCCATATATTCAGCAGTGGCTATATTCTCGATGAAATGACTTTAAGCCATGTATTTGTAATGATATTTATCTCATACCTATTATATGGTGTACTTATCTGGTATTTTCAGTCAGTTATACCCCATAAGCACTCAATTACTAAACAATTTTATTTTCCGATTCAAATGATTTATGAAAAAATTGCAGAAATATTTATGAGAAATCAGACAAAAACATATAATTCAATGTTTGACTCCGAAAACCAATCAATTATTCACATTAAAAATTTGTGCAAAAAATATAACACAAACTTTGGTTTTAAAAGTGATTACATTCTCAAAGACATTGATTTGGATGTAAACGAAAAGTCAATTACAGTAATTCTGGGACCGAATGGATCAGGAAAAACAACCTTGGTCAATATAATAACAGGTACTTGTAATTATTTTAAATATCAATGATTTATGAATATTAATATCAAAATTCTTATTTCTAGGATTACTTGAATTTGAAGGCCAGATAACTATTGGTGGACACGATATCTGCCGAGAGTCTAACTTAACCAGAAATATGACCGGAATTTGTCCGCAAGAAAATGTTTACTTCAAATACTTATCAATTAGAGAGCATTTAGTGCTGTTTTCAAGTCTCAAAGAAACGTTACGCCAGAGTAACAGTGGATATACCGGCGAACATCTGATCCGACTCTTGGATATGGAGTCAGATCTGAACAAAGAGGCGATGAAACTATCGGGAGGAACATTGAGACGTCTGGTTCTGGCCGTCGCTCTCATTGGTCCCAACGATATACTGCTATTGGATGAGCCGACGGCCTCTTTGGACCCTATAGTCCGCCGCAAAGTCTGGGATCTGATTATTGATTCGCGAAACACTAAAACAGTTTTGATTACTTCCCACCACTTGGAAGAGGCGAACCTTCTCTCCGATCAAATCTGCATTATATCGAAAGGCAGCGTCTGTTTCAACGGTTCCACGTTTGACATGAAACGGGAGTTTAATTCTGGATATCATTTAAAGATAGCAAAGAATATTGAGTTTCAAACAGAGAACCAAATAACGAAAATTATTGAAAAGTTTGCAAAAGTAAACAATTTGTCCAAAAATTATATGAAAGACACCGAAGAACTTGTCTATGAATTAAACTTTGAAGACAGCCATAGGTTTAGCGAAATGTTTGACGAATTGTATGTAAATGAAAATGAATTAGCGATAAGTGATATATCATTGGGAATGACAACACTCGAGGGCTCGTACGCCAAAATTGTCTCTAAAGGTGACACTAAACTATTGGATCAACTGATAAATGATAATAATAACAGACAACTAAATGATGACAATAATGAGGGGTTGATTCACGAATTGGACAATTTCCAAACACATCGACAACATTCACAACTAAAACTAATTTTGTGCCAAATATACGGAATATTCTTAAAACGTTTTCATTACTTGTCAAAGCATTTTACACTTTTATTAACACTTTTAATAATTCCGATATTTGTCTTAATAATACAATTCCTATCCATTAATATTTGGACTAAACTGAGAGTTCTTCACAAAACACCCGTTCATATCAAAAGTGAACAAATTTATGGCAAAAATATGAAGGGATTTGTCGCCTCAAATGAGCCAACATTTATAGCCAGTTATTCACAAGTGTTGAAAAGCGACGGAATCGCAGAAATTGATGTGAAAAGTGATACCGATTGGGATATTCAACAATCACTTCTGCAATATTCCGGTAACGGTTTAATTAACTATTTTCACAATCTATTGATTGGCATTTCCACCAATACTACCGGTGGTAACACAACACGCGTTAATTTGTGGCACAATTATGTGGCCTATCATTCACTGCCCATATCTATAAACGTGTTCACAAACGCATTGCTTAAACAAATGACCGAAGACTACGATTACGGCATTGATGTGACAAATAAGCCGTTGACTATCGATTGGATGGGAAGGGAAATGAATAGCGTTCACTGGACTCTCAACTCCAACGAGTTAATGGGTAATACATATTACACTGTATTCCTGTGCGGATTCACATTCACCACAGCCTCATATGTCTTATTGCCGATCACTGAATGGCGGACTAAATTCAAATTACTTCAACTCATGTCTGGTCTAAATCCGGTCATCTATTGGTCGGCAAACTTGTTGTTTGATTTTACGGTNTATCCTTTTGGTATTTGGTGAGTGAAGGGATTGGCATCAGTTGTTCAAAGATCTCAACCCTGTCTTCGACCGAAGTGTTGGTGAGGAGTGAGATGTGCGCCAAATCGACGGCCAATTGTAACTGACAGAAGCCTCGCTCCACATAACTGTCAAATCGATACTCTCTTAAAAAGTCGAAATCGGAAAATGCATTCACACTTCGATACACATCAAAGTTATAAATATCCTTATTATAGACAGTTATCGTATAATCCAAATGTTTGGGCCCTTTGTTTGGCCCGAAATGGTCGGAAGCGGCGAAGTTGAGGGCGAATTGTGTCGGCAAGTCTGTCGTCTTCTCAAATATAGTGTCCGTTAAAATAGTGGTCAACTCTTCTTCCCGTCGGACACCCGTCGAGTAGAAAACATATGTTTCGCCAAATATGTTGGACCAAAACATTTTTGACAAATACTTTTCCACTCTTGCCATCAGTTTATTAGTGTACGAATTGTTGGGATAGTAAGCAATGCCTATATTTGGCGATGTAGTCAACTCCAGAAGCGACTGGTTTTGTGACAGACTTCTGGCCGACAAGTAGATGGGCTCCGAAACGGTTATATTGACTGTACTATCATTGATATGTTGGCCGTCGGCGTAGTTTAATACCGTTCTCCGCGACATCAATACCACAAACGCCGCGAAACAGATCGGTATCAATGATAATAAGGCAAACGATGACTTGTGATGGCATCGGATTAACCAATTTTTGTGTACTAAAAGTCTTACGATCGCAAAATGTTGTGCAAATTTCATGATTATTAAGTCGTGTATTAAATTATTAATAAAACTTTTGAAATTTTCAACATCTCCGCCAAAATGAAAGTAATTTATAAAAAGCACTTAATATATCACTATTTTATACAAATTAATATTTTCATTCAAATTATATGAGTTAATATGAATACTAGTTTGTGTTTATGTTTGTTGGTTAAAAGTAACCATAATTTTTGCGTCAAAACATTAATTTGTCGCCAAATATATAATTGGATTGAGTATTACATGCGATACAAAACGGACTAATTATAAGTTTGCAAACGAAGGACAGTCTGAACACGTTTTGAAGGCTATTCAGAGGAATGGGAAGAGAGGCAGAGAAAGGAAGGGAGGAATAGATGTTTGATAAACTCCTTTTACATTCAGTAGTTTATGAAAGCAATAGATTATATCATAACTTCATAATCATTTACATTAGCATTAATAGCATTCATTAATTAATGCAAATCTTATAGTAATATACAAATTGTTAAAAAGGAAAACATTATTACAATTTAATAATTAGTTTGTAATGTTTTTATTCGTCTTAAGGGGTAAATTAACTTCACGATAAATTAGCATAATATGTATTTTAGAAATGTCCTTGTTTAGTTCAGTTTTAGTAAACACTTTTAATAAACAGTGTTGTTTGACCCGACATTAATACTGATTTGATTGTTAGACAGGACAGTCCATACATCCCATAAAGTTAATGTTAATTTTAGTGAATCTTTTATAGAATAGCATTAATAACAAAATAGTTTGAATCACAATATAATTGAAAAAATATAAAATAATTTGAAAGAAATAATTAAAATTTATTAAAATTAAAAATGTTTTTGGTTAGTGCTTGAACAAATTTGAACGTGAACAATATTAAAGTATATTGTAATCTTTATTTAGGGTAACAATGAAATTATCTTAATAATTGTTTGTTTTATTAAATAGTATTGACAAATATGTAAATCTTTATTTATAAATAGACAAATAACAGAATTGTATTTATAATATGCTTTACTTTATATGCAGTAAATAATCAAAACATGTTTTAATCGGTTTTTAATTGACGTCAATCCCAATGCAAGAGTATTAACAATACATTGACTCTAATAGACATCTTATCAATAATATTATTGTCCAATAACTTACTGTTATTGAACTAAAATTAAATTTCTTGATTCTGTAACACTTGACACTACATTAAGATTGGGAAATGAATTCAATTGTCTGTTCACTACATGTATATTATAAATTACTTAAGAAAAATAAAAATATCCTTCATTTGCTATCGTTTAACAACAAGAAATAATAATTTTAGGTAAAATATTTGCCTTTGAAGTCACTTATACATTAAAGTTTGAATTGTTTGGTTAAATAAAAGTAATTTAATAATTCACATTAACTTTTACATATCAGCGAGTTTTAATGCTATGTTTTGTAAATTAGCTTTTGTTTTATACATTGTATTAATTTAAATTTACAATTATATTGAGTAATAAATTAAATTTACAAAATGTTATTTATATTTAATATAAAATAATATTAACTAATATGTCCTAATTGTTTGACACGAATACTGGACAACAGAGAATACATTACGAAATAACGTAACCATTGATTGATTGTATTGAATCGACTGTAAGTGTAAAATATAAGTCAATCTATGGATAATAGTTGCGCTAATTTTTTTGTCCAAAACTTTTTAATTAGTTTTATAAGTATTTCACATAATATTAAAAGTTAAATTGTGATATTTCTGTATTAAAAGCATGTTTTAACAAACTTTCAAAACTTATTGCAACTATTTTTTTAAAACAAAAGAAAAGTATTTTCAGGCGAAACACTTGAAATAATTCATTACTTAATTGTGGAGTGTATTAAACAATCTCATCATTTGTTAAGATTTTGATAATATATCACACAATTGACAGATTATTAGAGGTTCAGGTGCCTCAACATAGATCACTTCAGAGGCCAGTAGTGTATTTTCTGGCCATACCATAACAGGTCTGTAACATTTATTCAATTATAAAATTTTAAATTTATTAAACAATTAAACTGATTAAATTAGCAATTTATAAACCCAATTTATTTAATTTTAATAATATATTGTACAGTAGTACTTCTTATAGTATTAATGTTTTCCAATATATTATATAAAATGTAATAAAATGCAAACAACAAGTTATCATTTATTATATAAGTGGTGCACAAATCTACGATTTAAAGATAAATTAAAATTAATAAATATATAAATTGTACTTTTCAGAAAGCATGTAAATTTAGAAACTTGATTTAATTTAATCATTATTATTAAAACATTCAATTTTACTGTTCAATTAAAATAATGTCTAAATTAACATTCACAGTCTACTAAAACGTTTAAGTTACATGTTTTCTTAATAGAAAATTATATCAAATTGACTGTACGTTTACCTGTTTTATGAAATTGATATAAAGGCTAAAAATATTATTTTTGTCTGAATATATTCAGTGAAATATCAATCATAAGATCGGAAAAATTATTTGTTGTTTGCTTTTGTATATCTAATCAATTAATAGTTATACTGTACTGTCTTTGAATGACAATTTGTACTGATTTTGTACTTAAATGTGAATTAATTTGCAATTTATTGTTTACAAAAACTTCTGATCAAATACTCCACTCAAAAGCAATACTCAAATATACTGACAAGCAATCAGTCAAACGGTTTGTTTTGTTAGAAGTAATTAGAAGTAAACTATAACTTAATTTATAATAATACACATTTTAAAAACAATTATATTATTGTATTTATATTTATTTATCTATATTTAGATTTAAATTGATGTAATAATATTTAATAATTAAAAGTGAATCTATAAAATGGACAATTTCTGCGGATCACAGTTTTGGGTTTGTTGTGATAAAATTAATTGATATATAATTAAAATTGAATAAATCACTGATTACTGGCATAGGATTGGGATCTCTCGTGGAATTCCAATGAATTTCCAGAATTTACACTTTGTTTCGAAGAGACACTTCTTGTATGGATTCCGTGTCTACTCTTATGGCTGCTATCGCTCTACGAATTGTTTAATATTTTTTACAAAAACAATGCGAAACCAATTCGTTATACAATACTATTCATCGCTAAAATGGTAAAAATATAAATTACTTTCAAATATAACTTTAAAATTATTAATTTTATTCCAGTGTTTCTCATCAACGCTTGTGTTCATAAGTTTGTTTGATTTGTTTCACACGATTATTAAATACTTAAACAATGAAAACTTGGTGTTTGGCGTCCAATTCTTCACACCATTTATGAAGTCTATAACATTTGTAAGATATTAAATACATTTTATAAATTAATCATTAATTTTTAATTAAATAATAGGTTTACATAATAGTATTAACTTATTTACATCGTAAACATGGCATTCATTCATCGAGTATTATCTTTATATTCTGGTTTACGCTAACTATCGGTGCGATTATTAACTACAGAACTGTTGTCCATATGCTATCTTCTGATGTAATTTAATATTTGAAACAAACTTAAACACAATTTAATGACAATTATTTATTTTTAGGCTCATTTCACTGGATTAGTGGATAGTTATTGGTTTGTCACACGAATGCTATACTTTCCCATAGTTTTGATACAACTATTGCTTTCATGCTTTTCCGATGTGACGAACGGATACTTCTCATCAAATAGAGAAAAAGTTAACAATAATTTTATATTCAAACTTAGAAAAGTTAAATAACTAAATTTATCGACACATAGACAATGAATCCGGAAGAGACGGCATCCTTCTTGTCTCGGGTGACCTTTTGGTGGTTCAATTCAATGATATTTAAAGGATATAAGAAACCATTGGCCACCGAAGACATGTGGTCGTT